CATTAAGTCTGGTCTTTTTACTAGAATTTGAGATCTGCACCCACTTTTCTCCTGCTCCATCAGGGACTCTCTGTTGTGTTCCCTGTCAGGGCGGTCCTTGGTGATAGCTGGCCACTATCTAATTCTTCTGGTCTCAGGATGATGCAGTCTCTGGTTTATGTGGCCCTTTCTGTTTCTTGGGCTAATACTTTCCTTGGGACTTTGGTGTTCTTCATTCTCCTTTACTCTAGGTGGGTCGGGACCAATTGATGCATCTTACATGGCCGCTCGCTAGCTTTTAAGACCCGGGACACCATTCACCAAAGTAGGATACACAACATTTTTTTAATAAACTTTCTTATGTCAATTGACCTAGCTGTCCCCTGAAAGCATGGTCCCCAGACTCCCAGAGGGCAGCTTATCTCAAGCAAGAACATTCGGGCTTTAGAGTCAACCACCCAGCTCTAACGCTGACCTTGAACAAGTTATTTAGCCTCTCTGTACTTAGTTTCCTCCTTTGAAAAATGGGAGAATAACAGTAACACTGTTTAAGGCACACCCACTTAGCACAGGGCCTGGCAGATGGCACCCTATGTATCTCACACTGAATCCCCACAACAGCCTTTTGCAGTGGTGGTAACACTGCTGATGTTATTCCCATATTAAAGTTGAGGTCGGTGGGCTCAGAGGGGTTAACTAACTTATCCACAGCCACAGCTGGACAGTGGTGGAGGCACGGCCCTTCACCACCATGTCACCTTGCCTCTCACAGGGCACTAACGAGGCAAGGTCAGTTCCCTTCTCTTCTGTACCATGAGGGTGGTGAGAATCCATGTCCCAGGAGGGACCCCGCCCAGCAGTCTGTGCTGGTCTGCTCCCAACATACCTGTCTCCTCCCTCCTCTACATTCATTCATTCATTCACTCTTCAACCTTTGACCCACTCTGACTGTCAAGCACAGACACTCAGTAAAATGGACGCTTCCTGTAGACTGAGATATGGGAGTTCCGCCTACTCAGCAGGGACCCCATGCGGTGATGCCCACCCTGGATAAACCCATCACGCCACAGCCCCTCTCTCACCTCCCGCATCCAGGTGCTGAAGGGCCTCTGCCAGGAGCTGGCCTTTTCCAGATGGAGGTAAGCATTGAAGAGAATCAAGTAGACGTAGCGCTCCAGATACTGCAGGCTCCTCAGCTGCAGCCTCCGTGCCTCCTGCTCCTCTTTGGCTGCCTTGGCCTGGAAGGACGGACAGGTGAGAGTTAGCCCGGGGAGAGTTAGAAGGGACAAGAGAAGTTACACTGACACCTGCCCCCCACCACACCACACACACACGACATATATACAGCACACATACACGCACACACATCCCAGACATACATACCATACACACACACTACATATATACACCACACGCACACCTACACACACCACATACATACACCACACACACACACAACATATGTACACCACATATATATACCACACACTCCACATATATACTCATACACCACACACACACACACACACACACACACCACTGCCGTGAGCAGAGGTCGGGTGGGAAGAAGGCAATTCAGACAGCAAGGCTAAGGGTGTCATCCCTGCCCAGGGGCATGGCTGGTGTCTGGGCATCAGAACCCCCCACCCCACCTGTGAGGCACGGGCCGGCAAGTCGCCCGGCCTCCCTGAGCCTCCGCTTCCTCACCATGGAACTATAACCACTGTCCTGTTCTCCTGTCCCGAGGGTGACGGAGCATACCTGACAAGAATGTGCTTTCAACAGGAAAGCTTCATACAGATAAGGTGTGGAGAGGCCACAGGCCCCAGGATGGAAGCTCTGGCGAAGGTTCCACCAAGCTCTAACCACAAAAGAGGACCCTTACTGCCAACTCCTGTCATCCCCGAGGGGGGACATCTCCCCCACAACCCCAGCCTCCCAGGACTGTAGATGGAAGGC